CTACTGGGCTGGACATCCGTATACAGCTATGATAAAAATAATGACGGACGTTCTTTGGTGGATAGTAAAGGGGACCATTTAATGCTTTGTTGGATAGGTATGTGTTTTCTACAATACATTTTCTAGAATAAACGTGGCCATATACCTTGCGATTATCGTACGATAATCATGGGAAATCCCGCAACCATACGATAATCGCAAGGGGGCGGGCTTTTGATGATCGCAAGTACGATCTGCCTGTCCAAGATGGCCAGATCATACAAGCTTTTAATTAGCTTACAACCATCGCAAGACAAAAGTCTTGCGATGGTAGTAAGGTGTATGGGCACCTTTTAGATGGTTAGTATTCAACCTCATGTATTTATCCTTTTTGCTATTGTTTGTTTTTACGGGACTACCCATCTTCAGTAAAAATACATTTTTATTTTTTGATCTCAGGTTTATACACAATATTCTATTACTTAGAATGTTTATTACTAAACATAAACAGATAAAACTGTATTGAGTTAATCAATAATGAATACTTCAAATGGAATGCACACAAAATGTACACAAAACTATAAAACCAAAAACCTTTCACTTCATTATTTTAGTGTTACTTCAAAACGATGCCCCTGAACTTTATTCTTACATTTTATAATGTGTGCAGCGCCTAATATGTGCATAGTTGCAAATATTGTGAATCGTCTGCCAAGGTAGAGCTCCATCACTGAAGTGTGGAGTACATACTGTATATTAAAATATATGCATTGTAAAAAACTATAGGTTCATTCACAGACACAAGGAGATTGGTAAACACTGGAGAGAAACTCAAATTCACCAAACTTATTGCTCACCATCCTGAAGGTGATTGCAGAGGTTTTAGTTGATTCCGTCCATCAGCATGAGAAAAGATAGGTTTCCAAAGGAGGAAGATATCACCATGGAGTGGGACACCTCTTTTTTATCTTTGCACCAGTAATTATGCAACTTTCTAGCCTCCTAAAGTACTTATAGTTCAGAGACTGGTCACACACAACAATTAGTAAAACTTTGCATTACCCTTTAATTGGCATGACACATTACTTAACAGAATTTACAGCAATTAGATCTGCCATTTCTTTGGCAGTCAAGGGATAATTATTAGCCACACTGATTCATTTAAAAAAAGAGTCCCAAAGTGCTTTTTTTTGCAAAAAAGGCCTCTCCATCCCAGGCCATGGCATGGGCCCACCTGCGGGAACAGCATCAAAGGAGGTGGCCAGAGAGGTGGAAACAGGTGAAATAGGGCACTGAATAGAAAGCTGTGGCAGGAAGCAAAGACAAAATAGATAGCAACACTTGCAGGCACACAGTAGTGTAGGTGACCTGTGAGTTCTGGATGACTAAAGATGGTCTAATGATACCATGTCATTTGCAATATTAGGAGCAGTTATGATGAGCATCAAAGTAAGGATAGGCTAATTGCTGCCATGAATTCCTCTGAAATCTATGTCTATATGCCAGGGTAATGTGCACTTACAACACAAAGCTTTGTTCTCTTTTTCTGTATTAACAATTAGCAAGATTGCCTTACTGTTACTGGAATACAAATTATCCACTTGTCAGCCTGCAAAAGCTTTAGCAATCGTGCCCATCATGTGCACACAGCATCCAACCTTCGGCCTTCGACTACAGCTGCTTAGTATGTTTAGTAAATTAGGCTAGTTAAACCTAAATGAAGCAGTGAGCTGAATTAAGTAGAATAAATCCATACGTGAGTGCATTAGATCTGCTGGGGGGCCCATCTACTTAATTCCCTAAAAGAGCTTTTTGATAATTAACATTAAAAACTGAACATTACAATAGGCAATGTTGTATGAAATATTTAGCTGAAAATTCAGCAAAGAGGCTGTAGGGGCTTTTTGAGATGTAGAACAGAATGGGCCATTACTCAATTAGAGAAGAAAACGCTGCCCGAAAAACTCAGTTATTACCATGGAACAAGCAATTGGTAGCTGTTAGAAAACTGCTCTTCTTAGCAATTAGCGAATTTCCATTAATGGAGGGTCTGGGTCACAGGTAATGGTGGAAGCTACTGACTTCCCAGGTTCAGTATGTTGCTCCTGGTATCGCATACAGTTACTGATGACCAAGGAACATTCGGTTTAGAGCTGCATAGACAACTATTGGAGCTAGCTTTAGCTAGACATTGCTAGAGAAAGTAATTTATAACTGCTACAGGTCTCTGTTATAAAGATGCTAGTGTGACATGGCCCATAGACATGCCGGTTGTAGGTCTATTCCCTGTGCTGTACACGGCACTGCGCATCATAACAAGCGGACCATGTATTCCTAGATATAACATTTTAGCCTATGTTTGACAACTCCTTTGCTCTGACAAAGTCTCTTGTCTCTTTCAATTACAAATATGAATACTGTACTATTGTACACAAAGACTTTGAAGTCTTTTATCGCTTAGCTCAACTCTAACTTATAGTTATGATTACTGCCCATAAATAAGATGAAATTAGTAACACCATATAATTTTATAGGACTTCTTATTAGCCGTAGACAGCCCGTTGTAGACATTGTTAATAGCCCGTACAGCAGCCCTTTGGTGTGACTGAACCGAACGTCACAGGCGGCCTGAAGCGAGCCAAAGGATCAGCCGAAGCTACGGCTGGATCCTTCAGCTGCATAGTGAATAACCCCCTTAGTTTTCTATAGCACTATGTTAAATAAAAAATTGCCATTTTTTAAAATAAAATACTTTTTTAATCTTTCCTTGCATATCAGCATCTTGCCACCAACTTCTACAATTTCCCATTGTGTATCACCAAATTCACTGTAGCAAATTGGGTAATTCTGGAATATATTTTATCAGCATACTATATGTGATCTCACATTTTAATGTTCTTGGAAAAGATACAGCAACTTTGTTAGGACATCATCAAGTCTAATTTTAGCACTATTAGCACTATTTTGTATTCATGAGTATGCCTGGATAGATTAGGGTTAAACATTATTTTGTAATTGGACCAAAGATTTCTAAGGTCACATTGATTTCTTGAAAGAACAGTTTGTCCTCTTTCAAATGAGGGCTTTCTTGGCTCCTTTGAACACTAGGGACTAAAATAAAAGTTTATATTTAGCATATTGTTACAAGCTCAATTACTTGCGGCTCTCTATGTGGGCCACCTGTCCTCGTGGGCCTGGGTCAAACACACTTACTGCCCCTTTATTAAAATGGCCCCAGTGTTACTTTTTTTTAAAGAAAAATACTTTTTGTTTTGTTAGACAAATTTTGTACACATTACAGCCATTATATGGTTTTTAGTACATTTTAAAAAAAACATTTTAAGCACATTAAACAGCATATGTAACGCAGAGGTACACATATATTTATTTATTGATTTATTAGTGGTTTTCTCCATGTCAACCTGCTCTTCTTATATGAGACTTACCTTTGGGCCCAAAAGCAGTCCACTTTCCAGTTATAACCTGAAGTCCATCTTTGCTGGCAGTTTGGATCCACTGGACCTATTCATAGGGTGTAAGGAGGGGTGCTTGCCAGAATTTCTGACATCTACAAAGCATCTCTGAGACTCTGTAAATGTAATATCTTGAGCTGGATAGTTGAGTACACACAAGTATTTGCCTTGCCTTGTTTTCTTTGATCAGACTCAGAAAAGAGACTGCACCAACTGTTCATGTTTGATTCTGAAGTCCACCCACTGCCACCTCTTGCTCAGGAGAGCCAAGAGAAAACAAATAGTATTTTACACAAGAGATCTCACTTTTTCACTTAGTGCCTTTGTGTATAAGGCCTCAATTAGGAACACAAACAGAATTGAGGACGTAGTGAGAGCACCAACATAGGGGTGAGGTATGATTTTTTTCCAATTACTTAACATGGCCAGAGTCAGAACTTATGCAAATCATTTGTATCCATACTGGCAAATTTTGTGTTAACACATAGATGAGCAGAGTGGGGATGGCAATGGAAGTAGCTTAAAGTGACACTCTAAGCTACTTCCATTAAATCTTAAAAATGCATTCAAATACCATAACTATTAACAAAATGTATCGTATTTGTGTATCACTTGGCTGTAGTTCCTCCAATCATCTCTGAATTGGTGCTGACACTGTCCTTCCTTCTAGATGGGGGCTACTTTTGTTCCTCGTGGTCCCTTTGTGTGTTGTAAAGTAGTTACCGCTCCAAGCTCACTCCCGTGATGAACTACAATCTCAATATAAATTAGTAAACTAAACATGAGTTTGTAGTCCATAACGAGAGTGAGCTTGGAGTGGTGGCTATTTTACAACACACACAGGGACCATGGGGAACAAAAGTAGCCACCTTCCAGAAGGAAGAACAGTGTCAGCATGAATTCAGAGATGATTTGAGGATCTACAGCCGAATGATACACAAATAAGATACATTTCTGTAACTAGTTATGGTTCTTGAATGCATTTTTAAGATTTCACTCACTGAGTTTACTGTCACTTTACTCATAGTGGAACTAACTAGCAGGACTGAAAAAAATATTTTATGCACAGTACCCACTAACCCTGCCCCCAAAGGTATACTGTTGGGCTAAACCATTTGGATAACTGTGATCTTACCAGTGCAACCGGCTGTCTATATACTATTTCAGCTGTATGAAAAATGGCTGCCTTTATCACAGGGACTGATTTTTGAATATAAATGTATATTCAAGTTGACTCCACAGTGGGTTAAAGTGAATTTAAGTGGGATCATTTAATCATTGAAATGGTTTTATGTGAAATCATTTGGAACTTTCACATTGAGCAGGGACATTTTGTACAGGGGAAGGATGTGCCTCGGCCCGAAATCTGCATAAGTTATTTGTCAAGACAGATTTCATGCTTATGAGGAAAAAAAAGAATTGACTGCTTGTTTGACTAATGGCAAATGTGGGATTTTTTTCTCTGGGGTTTATAGCTTTATGGGGACATAAATCTTGCAGCAGAGAGAGACATAGAAGATTATACAAGGTCCATCCTTAGTTACTTACAGCATTCTTGGGGCTCCATGACTTCATTTGCTTTCCCATGCACTTCATCAAACATATTTGCCCATCCATTGTTGTCTCCTGGAAAAAAAAAGAATATAATAATATATGTGTAACTTGCTACATATCTGGCAGCCCTTTATGTAGTATTATAACAAAAAAAAAACACAAAAAAAGAATGTAAGAATAGCACACTGTAATCTGACAAAGGTGAACCTGGGGCAGTTAAAACATAATTAGCTCATGAAAGGTTTATTACTATGTCAGAAGTTTATTTTACTTTTCTAAAAAGATTATTTTTTTTTTGTCATTTAAACCAACTTTTCATGCATGGTGGTGGGGTTTTACATGCATTTATATGTATGCTGTTTCCAGTGGGGATGGTATTTTTTTGCACTTTGCAGCTCTGCGCATTAAAACAGGTGAAATGCATATATACAATAGTATAATAAGAGGTTACCTATGGAAAGCTGCTGTTGCTCCTGGAGAGCACACCAAAGATCCAGTAAGTAGCATTTCATCAGAAATCTACCGCACTAAAGCACATAGATGACAACTGTCATCTTAAATCATGTTAAACAGTAATGTGATTATGCAGATACTTCTTAAGATTTATGGAGTCTTTTTAGCACTGTTATCTGACATCTCTTTCCATCATTAGGTACGTGTAGTCCTCTTCATAATTCCACACTATGCAGGGTAGTCAGCTCAGTTCAGCTCCCTGTTTTCAGGACAGCAGGAAGGATTTCTCTATAATGTAATTGACAGTCTAGTACATTTTATTAGTCAACATGTTCATTCTAAAGGGCATTAAAAGATATCTAAAGAGTAGACATGTGAATGGGACTCTCAAGACGATAGATCAGATGTTTAGGAGCTGATGTATAAAGGTTCCACCCAATATATAGCTGGGCTCATGCCGTTCGCATAGCATTCATGCCACTGGAAGGATCATGGGAAGTTCCCATGCTGCTTATCTCCAGCTAGTGGTGGGAATGCCGTGCAAATTGCATTGGGATGTTTATGCATAACCCCCTTAGTGTTTTTTTCTAGCCTTTTATTCTAGATGGGTTCAATTATCATTATTGTTATTACGGTTACTAACAAACTACTGCCGGTGTAAAGTGGAGGATGTACGGGTGCTTCTGTACATGTGAAGCAGCCTACTAGACCTTCCTGTTATGGCAATCGGCAAAGCTGTGAGAAAGCCTGGTAGTGTTGGAGCTTGCTGCTAGGCCCTCTCTCTCTTATTTGAATAGCCAAAAAGCAGAGTGCAGGAGGTAGTAAGGGGCAGGCAAGCCTCCGGAAGTTCCAAAGTTTCTCCAATTAGAACAACCATATTCTTACTCAGAATAGTGTACCACGCGAATGGTGTATTGAATCACTGCTAATTAATCCAGAATAAATTAAGTAGTCACCGACAATCATTGGAGTGTTGGTGGCTACTTCATTTATTCTATGTTATGTTTTCGCCATGTGTCTCGATTGATTTAATTGGGTTCCTGTACGCGTGACAAACGCATCAATGTAGGGAATGTAGCAAATCTGCCACATACTTTCCGTTTTTCCCCCCCTCTACGTTTGTGCACGTTTTAACATGTGGAAATACGCACATCTTCCCAGGTGCATTTGGGGTGCCCTTAACTAGTAAGGGCAGAGCGTGTTTTGTGTTTGCGATGCATTTTGTGAACGTACTTAAAAGCGCGAATGTATGGGCAGGGTTGACACGTGTTCATAAAATGCTCAGGTGTGAATGGGAACTAAAGGAGATCACTTTATCAAATCATATAGAAATCGATTTGGTTAAAGTATCTTGCGTCCAGTCAAAACCTTATGCCATCCTAAGCCCTGATAATGTTGGAAATGCAACAGCATATTGAGATGTAATTATCAGGGTTATTCATAAAAGAGTGAAGAGTTTGGAGAAGGCAGGAGAAGTGAACAATCTAGGACAAAATAGCTGAACTGGAAAGTGAGCTGAATTGGAGAATCTTTCCAAATCAGCTATGTTGTCCTAGATTGCATTATATTTTTAAGTAGGGATACACCAGTGCCAATACTGGGCATTTTCACGAGTACTCATACTCGTGAAAATGCCCCAACACTAAACGCAGATACTGGTGTTCTGTCGAGAACGCTGACGTAGTCGAATTTGCCGACTTCAGCATCTGCGCTTGCGCACAGACCAGTATTATCGAGGAAACAGGGATTTATTCACAAAGTATTTTATTTAAATCATTAATTGTAACTGTTAATAATATTCCACCCATCATTTCCTGCCATCCATCATTTCCTGCCATGGACGGCATATTAACGGTCACAATTAACAATTACAAACGCATACTT